AAAAGAAAAAAAAGTTAGTATTTTCCTCGAATGCTTTTGAGTTAAACTAGCTGAAACACCACCAAAAGAACAATAGAAAAAGGGCTAAAATCAAGTTCAAAAAAGACGTTTACTACTTTTATTCTACTTCAAGTATTTGAATAAAATTTTTCACATGTGTGGCTTTATTTCATTAAGTTTGATAGACAAGGTGTTTAATATTTTATCACAAAATAATGGTAACATTTCCTCACAAGTACGTCAAATTAACTTCTAGGATTTTACATGTCTTTGACAGCCAGGAAAGCTTCCAAGGAAAAGCAAAAACATTAAGAGGGTTACATCAAGTTAAGACAGAAAAAGGAAACTGCCTGCATCAAATATAAACTTTTGATCAGTGCTTTACATTCTTCTTAAGAACACATTAAATCAATATTTTGTATCTTTGTTTCCTCCCAAATAAATGAAATCAAATATAACAGTATCATATTACATATACACTTCTACTAGACAGAATACAGTAAGTCACTTTCTTCTCCTGTGAACAATCTTAGCCTTAGAAAGAATCTGCTCTGGTCAATATAATAAACTTGTTAACTAAACACTACATCTAGTATATTTTCAGGATTATTTATCTTTTCTTCCCTTAAATAGCATCATTCCTTTATCCCCTTATCAGTTTATTTAGAAAAACAATGTAAGATAATGCTACAATGTTCTTTAGCTTCTGAATCAAATAGCTTTTAAGATTAAGACATCAAATACTGACTTTAAATGATACAAGTTAGACATTTAAGGAATCACTATGTATATCATAGAACTGTAGTGGGACATAGGGTGTGTTAGAAAGAAGAAAAGAGGCCCTCCCTGGTGGCGCAGCGGGTTAAAGCACTGCACTAAGAAGCTTAAGCCAATTCCTCATGAGTTTGAACCCCGCCTGCCCCGGAGGAGATCCACATGGTGTGGCAGACCTTTCCTGACCCGCCCACTGCTCCCCTCAGCAGTGTACTTCATCGATCTGCCTGTTTTGCTCCCCACTCCATTCCTGGTGAATCCTCTCACCCTCCACATCTCTAGCCTGTATTCCAGTTTTGTATGAATAAATAAATAAATCTTTAAAAAAAAAAAAAAGAAAGAAGAAAAGAAAAAAGAAAGGAACCCTTCTTGGTGGCAGAGCAGGTTAAAGCACAGAACTACAAAGTTAAAGCCACTTCAGCATGAATTCAATCCTGGCCATGGAGGAGACCCACATGGTGTGGCAGACCTTTCCTAATACGCCCATTGCTCCCTCAACAGTATACTTCACCAATTGGTGTGTTCTGTTCCCCACTCTGTCTCTGGTGAAGCCTCTCACTGCTCCTGCACCTCGGGCCTGTATCCCAGTTCAGTATGCATAAATAAAGAAATCTTTGAAAAAAGAAAAAAGTGTTTGTCCTGTAGTGTTGGAATTTCAAGTGATTTTCTTCCTTAGATTTTTGTACATTTCATAATGGACAGAGCTTGTTTTTATGATGAGAAAAAAGTTAAAAGAAGAAAGTGTTGACAATCTTTTTGATCATTATAACTCAGTCAAAAAAAAATGGCAATGGAACTACTTCATGGTAGAATCTATAATCAAATAGAAGAGTAGTTCTCTTAGTGATGTATTGTGAAGGTCAGTTAAAAAATTATTTTAGGCATTATTCAATCTGATGAATAATGAATTTAACCTATAGTTAAGCCACTATAGACTACATGAGATTATTTTCACTTGTGCAGGCTAATGATACAATACAGAACATTAAGGGAGGCCAACTGGGTATATTCAAAATGTAACAGGAATGGCACACTTTCAGGAAAAGTCCCCAAAGTTTAGCAAATGAAACCAATGTCTTATAAAAGTCCCCAAAAGTTTAGCAAATGAAACCAATGTCTTAGGCATAAGAGATACAGGAAGACCAAGTTTAATCAGTGCTTATAAGCTATTTAGGCATACGTCAATGAACAGTTTATCTGCTTTCCTTCTAGTAATTCCACCTAGAAAAATCAAATAGTGATATGAAATTTTCAGCATGGAATCAAAATCAGTAGTTGGAAAATTTTAGTGGGCAGTAGTGTACTAAGTTTAATACAGTGTTTCTTCCAACTAAATTTTGTTTTAAGTAGAAGAATCCTGTTACCCTCCCTATTTCTCCAATCCTAACTAACATTAATAAAACAAAAAACAAAACAAAAAAACAGATGGGGTTGGAAACAGGAAGGAAAGATCCTTACTAGGTCCCAACCCCACCCCCCAAGCTCACTGCCACTTTTCAGTAAATTTCACCTTCACAGACAATATGAAAATCATTAGATAACATATCCTTTCCATGGTGTCAGGAAAGATCTGAATCTGATATATCCATTTGACGGGTTCCTATTTGCTCATCTGTTTAATATCTACCAGTTACCAACTGAGGTCTGCCTGAATATTTAGTATAGATCTATACAGAAAACTCTAATTTTCAGCCTACCATCCAAGGATGGTAAGAGGTGACTTAGCCTCTTGTGATTAGGCAAGTTATTTAAATTCTTTGAAGTCTCAAATCCTTTCCATGAAAGCAGGGTTAGTGATAACATTTCACTGGTTGTCAAGAGGATTAGATGTCTTAATACACCTTTAGAAAGCATTTGAAGGATACAGTATAGCAAATGCACTCAAATACTAGTAGCTATGTAATTTTTAGAATTATTTTGTAATTTCTCCAATGGTAAATGATTTCCGAATAATGGTGTATATTTTCTCATACTAATATACCTTTGAAACAACACAACCATCCCTAAAATCTCTAAGTCAGCCTTCAGGGATTATTTAAGTATATAACAAAAAACAAAAACAAAGGTAGAAAAGAGAAGTGTATTTTAAGTAATCCAGCACTAAAAAGCATTTGATGGCATCATATAATAAATGTAAGTTAAAATATAGTATTCTCGGTTCCAATTTCTAATATTAGGCTTCAGATAACTAAGACTGTTAGCAAGTTCTAAAAAACTTGGTATTTTCTTTACTGTAGCTACAACTGCCTAGTATCATATAGTTAATACAGATTTCCATCCTCTCTCTTCTCTACATACACGCACACATTATTTTTATTTGGAGAATCAGTTCTTCTTAAGCTCTGTATTCCTTTGCAAATCTTGTTTGTAAGTAAACTGCTAACTCTTTGATTTGTGAGTTTTCCTTTGATACCACTTATTGGTTTTTCCCATACTTAGCTTCTTCTGATCTATTATCTCTAAAAGTACATTGGGACTAAAAACAGGGCAGGTACTAAGCTTGTATATGACATAGTACTTTATATTTGTTCTTAGATAAAATATTGTAAAATTAGTTAAGTTTTATACTCTCAGTTGTGCTTCCATGAAACTGCATCTTATTCAACCTAAGCTACTAAAACCTCCCCTGGCATATTAGTTAAAATCTTTTAGTGGCCCTCCCTGGTGGTGCAGCAGGTTAAAGCACAGCACTGAGAATCTAAAGCCGCTTCTGCATGAGTTCAATTCCCGCCTGCCCCGGAGGTGACCACATGGTGTGGCAGACCTCTCCTGACCCGCCCGCTGCTCCCCTCAGCAGTGTACTTCGTCCATCTGCCTGTTCTGTTCCCCGCTCTGTCTCTGGTGAAGCCTCTCACCGCCCCTGAGCCTCTGGCCTGTACCCCAGTTCTGTATGCACAAATAAATAAATCTTTAAAAAAAAAAAATCTCTTTTAGGTTCATTTCCTGATGGCCTTATTGCTTACTTTAATGTCCTGGTCACAACAATAAATAAAAAGGGCTGAAATTTCAAAA